CCGTTGGGCCGGGTCCTTGTTCTGGCCCTTTTTTAGCCATACCCATGTTGACACAAGGGGCCATTCTGTGCCCCATGTGTCTGTAGCGATAAGACACATTTTTTCTTCTTGTGGCTTTTGATTTCTAAGTGACTGAACTAATATGAAAACATGACAAAGCTGTTTTGAGTTTAATCAAGATTATTTTGGGATGTTTACATTTTGGTTTTACGGGGGGGTGGGTAAGGAAGTCCAAAAAAGCAATTTTTTTCCCCAACCAACCACCCAGCTCCACTTGTGACTAGGCAAATTGCTACATCAGTGACCATGTGGAAATCATCTCCAATGCTTTACACTTTCATAGTCTGTGCCCCCCCCACCCACCCCCCCAAAAAAAAAGCCCTGCAAAGCACAGGTCTTGATATGTTGTTTATATAAATCCATAAATGCCTGGACTTCTTTCCCCAAGGCTCATCTGACTTCTATTTCTTAAGGTGTAGATAAATGGATTCACCGTGGGTGTCACCACAGTGTAGATTACAGAGAACAATGTTAAAAGCTGTGAATTTGTAAGTTTTTGGTAACATGTAGACAAGGATGAGAGTTGAATAGAAAGTAATGACCACAATGAGGTGAGTGGAGCATGTAGAAAATGCCTTTTGCCTCCCTGTAGCTGAAGTGATTCTTAGGGTTATGATGATGATTAAAATATAGGATGCTACAGTGAGAAGAAAGGGCAGCATAGTACAGGTAGCAGACATCAAAGATGTTACAACTTCTATCAGAAATGTGCCACTGCAGGAGCATTTTATCACAGAGGAGAAATCACAGAAGAAATGGTCAATCTCACTGCAATCACAGTACACCATCTGTGACATCAACAATGTGATAACAAGCTGACCATAAAACCACTTAACCAGGGCCCTGCAGCTAGTGCTATGCAAAGCTTACAATTCATTATGGTGACATAACGTAAAGGTTTGCATACTGCTAAGTATCAATCATAAGACATCACCACCAGGAGATAATACCCTACCCCAACTAGAAAAGCAAATATGAAAAACTGTGTCATGCAGCTGCTATAGGAAATACTTCTGTCACATGTCAGGAAGCTGGCCAGCAGCTTGGGCAGGATGGTAGAGCTGTAGCATGTCTCCAAGCAGGACATGCTATTTCTTCCTACTGAGGAAGAAATACATTGGGGTGTGGAGATGCTGATTAGCCACCACCGACACGAGGGTGAGAATGTTCCCCATCATTGTCACCATGTAGATCACCAGGAAGAGCAGGAATAGAGCAACCTGAAGGTCAGGTAAATCACTGGATTGCAGGAGGATGAATTCTGTAATGTAGGTTTGGTTTTGCTTTTCTGTAGCTGACATCATGCTGAATCTTGGGGAAAGCAAATACTAAAATGTAATATAAAAATTAAAAACCTGTTTTCCATGCATGGCTGTAAAGATACACTATCCAACTTAATTCTTGGATCCAAGCTCTATATCCTGATAACTTATTTAAAATTCCAACTCTTAAAACATTTAAGCAATATTTTCTATCAAAACCAAATTGTCTTATCTCAGTTTCAATCACTATTGGTACGCTTCAGGGACAAGGCAGTTTTCTTCTTTTCTAAGAAGTGTGGATGATTAAATGTCATTTTTTGGCTGAGCGTCCTGGCTTGTTTCCTTGTCCTGTAGAGGCATAACCTAATTCTTAATTTTTGTGCTCTGGATGTACGTTTATATTCTTATGCTCCTTTGCAGATCACCCAGCTACGCCAGCATGGGGAAAGGTGTTCAAAACTACCTACAGCTAAACTATGGCATTAGCTTGCAGTCACATCAGATCAGTTTCTGCAACCAGACAATCTTCACACAAGTTTTCTTATATTCCGCATCTTAGGTGACCCAGTGGATTTACAAGGTAGGGCAATTTTAGACGTGGGGAGGACTGTCTGTGCAGTTTGTTCAGTTTGTTCAATGTCTCATCACTTTAAAAATATTGGGACATTCGGATAAAGCTGTGACTTGCATAATGAAATCATGTCAGTAACTGAAGAGCCTTAGTTCAGCACATGGGCAATTTTTCCACTGATGGAAAAACACAGAAAGTCAGAAATTAATCTTATCATCAGTTCTTTATTGACTTTCTTCCCAAGTCTGCACACTCTCCTTTATCAGGCTTACCTCCATGGCAGCCAGTTACAGACTGGGGTCTCTCAGACACCTGCCCACATCACGTTGCGGAATGCAGCATGGATTCTCTCTTTTCATCATCTTTATATGAAAGCCAAGAGTTTGATCTTCCCAAGTGTTTGCTTTGTCTTTAATAAACCTCCATATGTACTGCAGACAAGATGAGCTCAGAAGTCCCTTGTGACTCAATATATGCTCCAGAGTATGAACACAAAATCTCCTTTGATAGTTTTACTAATGGAAATTTTAAATAATTTATCAATGGGGTAGAAATTTCCCAATAATATTCTTTATTAAAGTTTATAATAACTTAATACTGCACTGAAATTTACTGATAAATTTTGCTTTGTCCATCCCCCACACATATTATTTCCAATTATATTCCATTTTCCAAAGACATCTAGATACCTAATGAACGTATTGTGAGCTGAGTATACATTATGCCAAGTAAGAGGGGAATGTATCACAACCCACTTGAATGGTGTGTTAACAACATGCCTTTGATGCAGGCACTCATGTATGGCATGGGGGCATGCAGTAGCATTTCAGAGAACACTTTCTGCTGGGCCAGACCACAACTGGTGCTTTCCACAGTGGGATTTCTGATCTGAAGCATATGATGAGGAGAACTACTGTGTCAATATTGCCTGGGTTCTCTCAGAGGAGGACCTGAAGCAAAGCTCCAGAAAGAAGAGGAGAAACATGGAAATAGCTGTGCTCTGAGGATTATAAGAGTGACCAGCACCCATCACCCCAGGGTGAAAGACAGAGTAGGCCAAGTCAATTGTGCAAACAGACTGATTATTAGCATGGATGCCCTGGCAGGTACTAAACACTGAAGTGCTTTCTTTTCAGTCTACACTGGTGGGAGAGTTCAGCATGGTCTGGACTAGACCCCAGATCTTTTGAGTGCTTTTGCCACTTGGCTTCAGTGCCAACCACATGGCAAGTATCAGGCAGAGGATAAAAATGGGGCAGAAATTCAAAAAAGTTGAAGTGTCATATTTTTTCCTATAATTTTCTCTTCAATTTTTTTGTCTGACAACAAACTGAAATTATTCCAATAACTAAGTTCACATGTTCACATGCAGCATGCATCTTTTTAGCAATGGTTTTGTTTTCTGCACCTAGCGTTGGTGATCTAGGAGTGAGAAAAGACAGTGCCTAACATGAGCATCCAGTGTCATGTCAGATGCACTAGGGTCAGTGCACTTGTCTGACTGACCTGTTGTTACTGATGCTGCCTTCCTAAATTAAAGGGAAA